ATACAACCTGAAGGGCCTCCGGGGGTCGCTCGATCTTCTTATTCTTCTTAGTCGCTATCTCGTATTCGAGAATCGTTCTTTCAAGAGTTGCTATCCACAATAGCCCATTCCTCTCTGTTCTCCCATTCCTCTCTGTTCTCTGCCATCCTGAATGTGCAGGCTAGACTTTGCCCCGTGATGTTAGTGATGAGGTCTGTATATCTAGTGGAGGACCTACCTCGAGGTCTTTTTCCGGCTACCATGCAGAAAATAATTGAATTAGGTACTCAAAAGTAACAAAACTTCCCTTGAAAAGTAGAATTGAACGGATAGAAGTGAGTAACGATGAAACCCGGCAAAACTAAATTCGAGTTAAAGTTTTTCTCGAAAGTATTCTCGGGTTTATTTCTGTTTGTAATTTTTCGTGTAATATCCAGCAGATGATCATTTTTAACCCAAATTCTAATAAAATCTTTAATGTTCAATTTCTCATATATATTAACCGATTTTTAGTACATTCTTTGCGTTAGCTGGTTAAATATTCCCAATGATTTTTTGAAAAAATTACAGTTTGTAATATTTTTATGTAATTCTAAATCTTGTATAATATTTCCTTGCTCTTTTGCTTCTCTCTTCAGTTTTGTAACAGAACCTAAATTGCAGGCAAGGATGCTGGAGGATTCAAGCTGGACCGTAAAAAGCCAAAACCTTTAGGAACAAAAAAAAACGAAATCAAAATCATCAAAATGAAATTGGTTTTCTTGCTTTTCTCCAACGTATTTGCAAGCGTTTTCCTCTCATTATTATACCTGGCCGCGTAGCGTACATGAATACTCCTTTTTAACTTCAGTATTAAAATATTGTCTGGCATAATTTTTCCCTATGCTTTTTCTGGGCACCAAATTTTTGATGAAATTATGCGTGCGTTTGAATTTTTGATTTTTTTATATATACTTTCTAATTACTTTTTTTAATAAAAACTCCTGATTGATTTTCGTTGCGGCAATGCGATTAACATTGTTGATATCTTATCGCATATAAAAAAGTGTTTTCCTTTCCAGGTGTTCCAGATTTGAACTTCCAATGCGGTTTTCTGGTCTGTTTTCAATTTCAATCCATTTGCTTCTGACTGCCAAATAAGGCTGTCGCATGGAGAATATTAAAATCCTGATTCTCGGCACTTAGCGCTTTGATTCCACCCCATTGCACAGATAAAGAATACCGCAAGGGCGCTATAAAAGTGATAAATATGGCAAAGTCAGTGGAACTATATTTGGCGTCTTCGGAAAACATAAACCAGGTTTTATACCTTTTTTTCAGTTCCATCGAAACTATAAATTCGACGGAATGATACACGTTAAATTTTCTTTCTCATCAGATTTCGTTTCCCGGCCTGTTCGACAATTGAAGCGCATTATTCTGCATCCATGCTGATAAAATCTACACTATTTTGAATAAAGTGATGTGTTTTTGAGAATTCCTCCAATTCTCACGCCTTACTTGGAAATCGCTTATTTTTACGCGCATGAAAATGTCAAGCTAGATTTAAAATGTTTTTTCCCCAGCAGAAATTGAGACAAAAATTGAGGAAAATTGCTTTAGAATGGGAAAACTCTCTTTGATAAACCATGAGAGTTTTAATTTGTTGCTGACATCAGCGATTTCAGGAAAAAATTTTGAAACTCGTCAATTTTTGACGCTTAAAGTACGGATTTCTGCTTGAAAATTGGTAACTCAGAAGCGCATTTAGCCGAAAACTTGAGAACATTTTTGTTGAAAAGAGCACAGCTTTTTTTTGAAGCTTGAAAGTTCCAATTTGCCCCCAACAACAGCGCTTTCAGGCAGAATTCTGCAAACCGCTCATTTTTAGTCGAGTAACAGTGTCAGTGTAAAAGGGTCAAGCTCCATTTAAAATGTTTTTTCCTCGGCAGAAATTGAGACAAAAAATTGCGGAAAATTGCTTTAAAATGGTAAAACTGTCTTTTATAAACCCTGAGAGGTTTAATTTGTTGATGGAATTAGAGATTTCCGGAAAAAATTTTGAAACTAGTCAATTTTTGACGCTTAAAGTACGGATTTCTGCTTGAAAATTTGTACCTGAGAAACGAATTTAGCCGAAAACTTAAGAACATTTTTGTTGAAAAGAACACAGATTTTTTTCAATCTTGCAGGTTTCAATTTGCCTCCAACATCAGGGATTTCAGGAAAAATTCTGCAAACCGGTCCTTTTTACGCGAGTAAAAGTGCCAAGCTCCATTTAAAACGTTTTTTACCCAGCACAAATTGAGACAAAAAATTGCGAAAAATTGCTTTGAAATGGGAAAACGCTCTTTTATAACCCCTGGGAGTTTGAATTTGTTGATGCAATCAGAGATTTCGGAAACAAATTCGAAACTAGTCAATTTTTGACGCTTAAAGTACGGAGTTCTGCTTGAAAATTTGTAACTTAGAAACGAATCAGCCGAAAACTTGAAAACATTTGTGTTGGAAAGAGCACAGATTTTTTTTTGAAGCTTGAAAGGTCCAATTTTCCCCCAGCATCAGCGCTTTCAGAAAAAATTCTGCAAACCGCTCATTCTTACGCGAGTAACAGTGTTAATGTAAAAGAGTCAAGCTACATTTAAAATGTTTTTTCCCCTGCACAAATTGAGACAAAGAAATTGCGAAAAATTGCTTTAAAATGGGAAAACTCTCTTTTAACTACACTGCAAGTTTCAATTTGTTGATGCAATCGGAGATTTCATGAAAAAATATCGAAACTAGTCAATTTTTGACCCTTAAAGTACGGATTTCTGCTTGAAAAGAATTAGCCGTAAACTTGAGAACATTTTTGATGAAAAGAGCACACATTTTTTTTAGAAGCTTGAAAGTTCCAATTTTCCCCCAACATCAGCGATGTAAGGAAGAGTTCTGCAAACCGCTTATTTTTACGCGAGTAAAAGTGTTCGTGTAAAAGTGTGAAGCTCCGTTTAAAATGTTTTTCCCCCAGCACAAATTGAGACGAAAAGTTGTGGAAAATTGCTTTGAAATGGCAAAACCCTCTTTTATAAACCGTGAGAGTTTTAATTTGTTGATGCAATCAGATATTTCAGGAACAAATTTCGACAAACAAAAAATATCGAAACTAGTCAATTTTTGACCCTTAAAGTACGGATTTCTGCTTGAAAATGTGTAACTCAGAAACGAATTGAGCGGAAAACCTGAGAAACATTTCGTTCGAAAGATCATAGTTTTCGTTTTTGAAGCTTGAATGTTTCAATTTGCCACCATCAACAGCGATGTGAGGAAAAATTCTTGAAACCGCTGATTTTGGGCGAGTAAAAGTGTCAAGCTCCATTTAAAATGTTTTTCCCCTGTACAAATTGAGAAAAAAAATTGAGAAAAATTGCTTAAAAATGGGAAAGTGCTCTTTTATAAACCCTGGGAGTTTTAATTTGTTGCTGTCAATTTTTGACGAAAAAAATATGGATTTCTGCTTGAAAATTCGAGAAACTCAGAAACGAACTGAGCAGAAAACTTGAAGAACTTGAGAAAAAAACGCACAGTTTTCGGTTTTCAAGCCTGGAAGTTTGAATTTGCCACCAACATCAGTGACTCCAGGAAAAAATATTCAAACCACTCATTTTTACAAGAGTAAAAGTGTAAAGCTTGATTTAAAATATTTCTTCTCCAGTACAAATTGAGAAGAAAAGCTGAAGAAAATTGCTTTGGAATGGGAAATCTGTCTTACCTCTAATGCTCTAATGCGTGGAATTGCCTTGCCTCGCCCTCTCTATGGTCTGGAAGGACTGGAATTGTACGTTTTCCCGCTTGACACGATATTAAAACAAAAAATCGCAAAATTAGCCTGGTTTATTTCAAGAAACGCATCTATTAAGCGCGTCCCTGGTTATGTAATTGTTTTAATCTTCATAAATAATTTGATATTTCGCTTTATTACTTTCGCAAAAAATTAACTTTTCTAATAAAACCCGGGTCAAGATTAATTGCAGCTATAGTGAAGCTGTGGCGCCAATAAATCACTTAGTCTAATTACTGCGAGCTCTAAAGTAATTAACAAAACCACGGCCTTGTGTTATTATTATTATTTGCCTCAGGGAAAGATTTTAAACCGTTCCACATTCTTTTCCAGCTCGGATAAATTACGCGCGGAAATACGTTTTAGGGCACTTAGGAAAACCGCTTTATATTGTCGCGAAAAACGGCATTAGCCGCAAAACACTGACCATTAATTGAATATCTGAGTGGCATTCGAGAACATTGTGTTCAAGTAAAATATGAATTCTTGGACGAATCTTGCATGAGTCAACAAAAGTGCAGAGAAACAGTATGTGAACCCAAAATTGTCATGATAAAAGCCTGATCACATGAACTGCATACATAATTTAAAAATATTTAATTAATATGACTAAAAATAAATGTGGGTAAGTCTGATTAAAATGCTCAGAATTTACTGATTGGAAATGAAATTAAACGTGAAATTATTCAAACAATCTATTGAGACTCACTTGGAATAATCCAATTGCAAATAATACAAATAAGTAAAGATTAAACAGGGCGAGTGAATTAGAGTTGAGATTTTGCAGCTCCCTTTTGTTGAGTTCATTTCTATTCGACATTTTTTACACCGAATACTGCAGATGTTCATTCTTCATCTACATTTAAGCTTTCAGCGTTTGTATCGTCTACAGTTTTTCTCTATCGTCTTTACTAACAAATTACCAAGTTAATTTTCTGTATTAAACAAGATACAATTTTCAAATGCTTACGTATTTATTTAGACACAAACAAGTTGAAGTTGGACTTAAAAAGTAAAACAAAATCTAGGAAATAAGACTGATTTTGAGCTTCTGTAGCCACTTTCTCAATAAAATGGCCAATTTTCTGACCAACGGATAGCCAATTAGATACAGGGTGACATATTTCAAGACCTTATGGAGCACCAAGAGCCTGAAAGCGCAAGATCCAGCATTCATATATATCTAAATAAATAAATAAATAAATAGATGCGTCCGACTTACCGGTGATATCTGGCCTTGTGTAGCTCCGCTTTCGTCATATCCTCTTTAAGAGTGTATTTTTTCAAACCTACCATGAGATTCCTTAAATAACTTTCTGTCTTGATGCCAGTAAAGTCGAAGTTATAAGTAATCCGATCGTTCGGTCCGAGCTTTTCCCATAGGGCTTTTACATTTTCGTTCTTTATGACCCACTCGTGGACCAGAAAGTAATGCAATACTGCCATTACCTTGTCGAGTTTCGAATAAATCTTTCGCATTCTGAAAAATGAGATCAAATTAGTTGCGATTTAAATCCCAATCGATTCGCCATCTGTATAAATTTTCACTGTTTGGGTGAAAATGAAAAGTTACGACCAGTTTTTTGAACGGTTTATGCAAAATGTTGAACAGAAAGACGCTATTTGCCAAGAAACTATTTTTGATTAATTACAATTTTTTTCTGAACTTATTTAAAACTGAAATCAATTATAATTAATTAATAATCGAATTAATTTCACATTTATTTCTGAGATGCTGTTAGCTGAGTCTCTGAACTTACCTCATTTGCATCAGCTTTCTGATAAAATTATTAAGTGTTCTAGAACGCACAAAAATAAGGCCCAAGACGGAAATACTGACAAATGAATCAAAATTAAATAAAAGGCAACAGTGTATCTTTCGCCCTTAAGTGAAACACGAAAATATTATTAGAGCATTGTTTAACGAGTCATGTATATGGCACTTTATGTTCACCTGCAGTAGTTTGCACGTACGAATTTTTCAAGATGAACACGCACAATTGAAGTTTCAATTTTGAATGAAAGTTTGCAAAATCGCCAAAATTCAATTGATTTTGCAAATTTCATGGATAGAATAACAAAAGTTGATTTTATAAAACTGAAAATTTTTGTGTTTTTATGTAGTCTAGAGTTAAACTTGTGTTTTTTTCAAAAGTTTTTAGAAAACATTGATTGCAATTTTGTACACATTAAAACTGAAACTTCTTTTATAAGAATCGCAAGTTTCATCTATTTACCTGCAGTAGTTTGCAACTTATGAATATTTGAAGAGAAACACGCACCATTGAAGATTCATTCAATTTTTTATGGAAGTTTGGAAACTGCCCAAAATTCAATCTATTTTCCAAATTTCTTGCAGTTTCATGCACAGAAAAACAAAAGTCCATTTTATCAAAGTAAAAATTTTTGCACTTTTACCTATCCTATATTTAAACTTGTGATTTTTTTAAAAAACGAGGGTACATGAATAAAAATTCAATTTTTATATGCGCGTTCGTAAATTTCTCAAAAATCATTGAACTTTTAGAAAACATTGTAATTTCGTACACATTAAAACTGAAACCTTTATAAGAATCGCAAGTATCATCTGTTGACCAGCAGTTGTTTGCAATTGATGAATTTTTGAAGACGAACACGCACAATTGAAGATAAACTTTAGGTGGAAATTTGCAAAATCGCTAAAAATCAATCAACTTTCCAAATTTCCTGCTATACCAGACGCAGAACAAAAAACTCCATTGTATTGTATCAAAGTAAAAATTTTCGGCCTTTTATCGGCACCAGATTTAAAGTTGTCATTTTTTTAAAAAACAAAGGTACCCGATTGAAAATTAAATTTTTCATAAATTTCTCAAAAATAATTGAACGTTCAGAAATCATTGCATGTTTTTACACATAGCAAATGAAGCTTCTTTTATCAGAATCTCATGTTTCATCTGTTCATCTGCAGCGGTTTGCAACGTATGAGTTTTTAAAAACAACAGCGCACAATTGAAGATGTAATTTTTAGGTAGAACTACAATAGAAATTCCAAATTAACTGGTCTTGATGTTTTGATTGAGACGTGAACATTTTATCTGAGATAGTTTGCAAGTTGTGACTTTTTATATTTACTTAACGGCGTCCACAGTCGAAAATGGACTTTTTAGACGCAAACTTGGAAAATGTTCAAAAATTTAGTAAATTTACGTAAATATAATAAAATTTGTCCAACATGTAGTTGGGCAAATTTGAATTGAAATCAGTTATGAAAGTTTTTATCAGCAGTGGAAGAATCAATTATTTTAATGTGAATCACTTGAATTTTCCTAACTTTCCTGCAGCGAAGGTTTTGCGAAAACGCTTTACTCATTTTTATACGAATCATACGAAACTGTGATTAAAAACGGCATTTAATGTGATTCCCGAAAGGATATTTTCGTTGTGAATAAAGGGTTTTCCATCCGATCGTTTATTTAAAACAATTGAATCAAGCTCGAATCTGATAGTCTATCGGTTTTCTTATGTGCAATTTCTTGTCCGACTCTGCCGAAGAAAACTCTTTTATTGCCGTAATTATTTTCAATGAATGGAGTTAATATTCCTGGAAATATATCTGCCTCCTGTTCGTGCGGTTCTGGCCAATTGAAACTATGAAGACATTTGTTACTTTTTAGGGCCACTTTGGATGTTCTACGACTAGGTATATACTGTTCGCTATGGATTAATGGTAATTTTGAAATTGCTTTCGCTATTTTGACTGTTGGTTCTACAACAGACCGATCTCAAATTTTCAAGTTTTTCTTAGTCACATTCGGGATGCATCTCACATTTTGCCCTGTCGAACAATTTAAACTTACTTACCGTGGTTTTCGTCCAGTAATTAAAAGAAGCCAGTCGAGCAGGTAGGCAGGAATGGTATGCAACAAGTGCTTAGCACAGAGAAAAATCCATTTATTCTGGACGATCAGCAACATGGGCTTCCAGATGGTTTTTTTAAAGGGCACGAAGCTGAAAAACATCGGTTTGTTAAAGGCGTATTTCAACTTACACTTTTAATTATTATGGATACTGCTGTTTTACTCGAATGTTTTATGGACCTGACGTCCTTCCGGTTTATGGGTTTACTTATTGCAAAGAGATTTGCAGTCGTGACCAGAGTTTTAAAAAGTTGATGTTTCAAACGGTTTCATTCTTCAGAGTTGAGTGTTTTTAAAAATAGGGATTTTACATGATACAAAGTTGTTAAAAATAGTTATTCACCCAGATTTTTCGGCTGTTGTAGTGTATTCCCGGATGGATATGTATAGAGGGCTGTCGTTGCCAGAGAAGTTGATGACTGGAGGGTGGTAGCTAGGAGAATTCTTCCTAAGTACAAAAAAATAATGAAAATTGGCAATAAAAGTGATTAGTTAATGTCTTACAAATATGTTAATATAATTGGAAATCAAAACCTGAAAGGAGATTCTGAGATTAATTCTGCTACAGATGCTTTGGACATACATTTTTTGATTTTTCTCATTTGTGTTCTTCTGACTTCCGACCGATTTTTACCAAAACGTTCTTTAAAAAATTACTAAATGTTTTCCTGTGCGTTTTTAAAATCTGTGCTTCAAGTTTTTGCAACGCCACAAGCTTTTCCGCTTGTATTCTCATTTTATTTCTATCGTTCCTTTGGTTTTTGGAACGGGGTCTTGAACTGTTTCTGCTTTTAAATTTAAATTCTCGAATTTAATTAAATTTTTTTTCTCGAAAACGCGTTTGTGGGGTCAATTTCTTCTTGAGCTTCTTATATAGAAGGTTTCTGGTCATATTTTGTGGAAATTGACATTTTACACTACTTTAGATGAGTCTTTTAAAATATTTCAAAATTTAAAGTCGCGCCCGTATAAACCATGATAACGACCACTGTTCCATAAAAAAATATTTTGCTATCAGCAAATTGCATTTGCAACCAATTTCGACTTAGATCTCATATATAGAAAGTGTTTGGCTATGTTTTATGGAAATTCAAATTTTGCGCTGCTTTAGAGGAGCCTCTCAAACGACCACTTGTCTCTGAACCAAATATTTTGCAAAAGCCCGTTTGCCTAACTAATAAAATTTCCAATTAAGTCTCATACAAAGACACTTTCTGGCAAATTTTGTGGTAATTGCAAAGAACACGACCACTGCCACATAAAAAATATATTAAAAATCACGCATGTTAAAAGCGAGAAAACGACCACTTTTAAATAAGTATTTTGCGAAAACCTGAATTTCTAACCAATTTCCACTTGAGACTGATGCAAAACACTTTCTGGCGACGTTTAGTAAAAATTGAAATTTTGTGCTTTTTTAAAACAGCCACCCAGATATTTTCTATGTTGCGCCAGTAAAAAGAACAACAAATAAAAAATCTTCGAAAAGTCTAAAAATACAACTTTATTTTAACCAAATATTAGAAGAATGTAATATATATTTGCATCTCCAATACAAACATTATTTTTTATGTTTTTGTTTGAAATTTTAATGTTTTTCTTCCAATTTCAAAGTTTTTATTGAAACATTGTTCCACACCTGTTATGATCTATTTCTATGATTATTTTTTAAAAGAGTAATTTATTCCTAGAAACAAACAATTCCATTTTATTGCAAACACAAATTCTTCTTCAAAATTTCTCCGCTCTTCTTTCCTGCGGTACAGTTATCTGTGATTTTTTTCGGAAATCAATTTTTTTTTGTTTCAGTTTCATTCTTTCGATGATTTAGTTCTAGTTTTCTCATCAGTGGCATTTTAAAACTTGACTAGACATATTTTCATGCTGCAAATACAAGTTTCCCACACAGAGGAGCTTCAAAGGACTTTAATGGGCGATTGTTGGCTTTTTCCAATATGATTTGTTTAGTCAGTTTGAGACAATTGACCATTTTGTGGAGAATTAGCTGAGTTTGCCTGATTTTTTTGTATACCGAATATTTTTGTGAAGTTTTTCAATCCAATTTCCAATGGATTTGGACTGCCTTTCATTGTGCAGGAACAGGAAAATGAGAATATTCGGTCATACTTTTAAAATGTGAAATTATGCAAAAATCTGTATTTTTGGATTTTGCTTTAGTGGTCTTAAATGAAAAATATCGCAAATACTTATTTTGAACATATTTTGTGCAATTTCAATGTGAAATCCATGGCTTTCTCTTCTTGCTATTGACGTTGTTGATAAAATCGTCCTCTTGATTTGTATTTAATATAATTCCGAAATTAATTTTCCAATCAAGTCGCAATTTGAGTCTCGATTTTAATGTTTGCTTCGAGTTTTCATCCATGTCATGTGTCTTCACTGCGTTCAGTTTCTTGTTTTTTTATTAACTTTACATTTTGAGTAGAATGAAATACATTTATGATTGGAGATTTGGAGATCGTCGGAGAAATCCACTTTTGTATTCCCAAAACGAGTTGTCCTTTTAAGAAAAACAATTCATATGCAGTAGAAACTGTTAAATTCAAAGAAACAGTTTAGAAGCAAAAATAAGCGCAATGGCAACTAAAAATTCGAAAGCTTGAGCATTTGTGCTAGGTCTGGGTAACTGGCTTAGAGCGCGAAAACAACGCGCCGGCGCAGTAACTCAGTTCTATTGCGAGGAAAATGTTGATGACTATTTTTCGATTTTTTTAGATTTATTTTAAAGGCCATTTATTAATAATATTTTTAAAATGTCTTCAAATTTCAAAATTTTCCAGTTTTAGCGAAGTTACTCTTTCTTCTAAATGCTCAATTTTCTAAAGTTTCACTTAAAAATGCTGACATCTTAAGGTATTTTCCGCGAAAAATTGTGAAATAAATTTCCAATTCTTCGTTGCTTTGTGAAAAGTTTTGAAATTCTTTTCCAGCTTCGAAAAATCGAAACAAAAATCAAACAATTTTCTATCAAAAAAACGAACAGAATAAGTGAAAGTTTATAACCAGATTATTTGGAAATCTCGTCACCTCCATTCCGCTGGAGGCAGTAGAATTTGTTGAAAAGTGTGGTTTTTTAATTTTGACTGATTTTTTTATGGTATACTTTCTACTCAAAAACGCTCTAATTTACGGAGTTTTACTTAAAAATACTGACGATCTGGAGGACTTTTACGGGACAAATTACAAGATAAATAACTGTGTAAAAATTTTACAAAAACTTTTTTCATTGTCGAATTCGGGACAAAAACGAAAATAAATTGCTACCGTTTTTTTAACCATTAAGGTTTTCTTTAAAACCGATTACAAAACTAAAAGTTTTAAATCGAAAACGCAAAAATGCATTATTTTCGGATGATTCTCTTCTTTTTAGCCAAAAATGACAAAACTACTTTTGCTAGAAAATCGCCTTATTCATCGGTTTTTAGGACACTTTAGAAAACCCATTTCCGCTTCGAATTTGGCATAAAAACCAAATAATTTTCAATCTTCAGGTATTTTCTGTGAAAAAATAATAAGATAAATTTTATTGAAACAGTCGCCCCCTTAACCACTTTGCAAAAATGTTTGTAAAACTTTTTGCAGCTTCGATTTATAAACAAAACCCTAATCATTATTTCCAGGACTTTTTCCAAAAATATTTCCCCGAACTGGAAAAGCGACAACTTATAATCATTTATTTGGAAAACCCTTGAAAACTGGAGTTTTTTCACTTTTGGATCAATATTTCTAAACAACACTGTATCTAAACAGAAAAACCGCGTTTCTATTAATGTTTTACTGTAAAATACTGGCAAACTGAATCTTTTATGAAGAAATCGATTTTACAAGAAAACTCGTCGACTTTTTTTGGACTCAGTTCTGTTGCACGGAAAATCTAGATGACTTTTTTTAGTTGTTTGAACAAAGTAGTAAAACGTTACTCATAAAAATGTTCATAACCCTTCTTAAATGTGAAAATTCCAGTCTCGGGTCTCGTAAAGCTTTAACAAATGAATTATAACTCATTAACCGAAGAGTTATAACTCAATGACTCAGAGAACGACTGAGACAACTTAAAAGCACAACTCAACACAGTGTTATCCAGGCCTAATTTGTGCGCATTTCCATGTTGAGTATTAGTTTGTTCTGAAGGTCAAGAGCGTATTTTGCCTAATTCTCTTTCAGATAATTTTAATCATAATTAGTTTTCTGAGAATGAACCTAATTTTTTAATGTCAGTTCTGATAAATTGAAATTTTGCTATTTCAGGTCGTCTTGGAAATGTGAGCAAATTTAATAGAATTATTGCTCACGCTTGCCTAAAATTAGTCATATATTGAAATTCCCGATGCTTATGAATGCTTGAGAATCATCTGCGGTTTCCTTTAAAGCCTCCCAAAACAACTCATGAATAATTAAGTGAACTTATTCAAATACCAGTATAATAAGTAACTAAATCAACAAATAAACGCTGAATAATTGCAGGCGCATTTACTAGAAAGCAGCCGGGAGCAGGGCATAAATTTGGAGAAATCCAGCCCATACGAAACTGATTGGGAAATAAAATCCAGTTCAGGTCGCTATCTAAAATCGCAACTCGGTCGCTACGCACGACTAATCCGCGCGAATATAATCAGGAAACTGCCACGTCGAGCGTCAAAAGTCATTATTCGACCCTACTCAAATTCGCTATTGTTCTCGTTATGCTCTAATATACAAACCATTGAGTGGCTACTTCCCAAGCATAGCACAATAGCCCATTGATAACCAGATCGCCGGGTACGGTATCGGCTTTAACCCGGGGATTTCCACGAATTACACGCAGAATTCCACAGTTGGAGGATAGAAGAATGCCCAAAGGCCCATAGAGGTTGTCTGCCCAACCTGGCACTGGATCAGACACTGTGGCTGTTACTAAAAATTGTGGAAATTGCTTCAGTTACTTATTTTTGCTTAACTACAATGGCTTTATATTGATAGAAAAATTTTGTCAGGTCACTAGTGTTCTGGAACAGTAATATTTTGTGCACCTATAAAGTTTTTTTTTTAAGTGAGAACCCAGTGTTTCAATAATACCTATGGTTGGACGAAATAAGGCTACCGGCAAGTTTCTTCCTTCGGAAATGAGAAGGTGTTCTGCAACCGCTTTGGTAAATGAATACGTGTTTGGCCATTTCCCCATTATCCTGCAAAAAAGCCCAATTAAGTGCAGAGTAAAGGAGCACAAGAAAAAATATCAAAAGCGCCCCGAAGGTTCATAAGACCCTCAGGCAAAGCCATTAATTATTCCCTTGTTAGTTGGGTTGCCTTGGAATTTGAATAAAAATACTGCATACCTATAGGTGTAGGAGATCAAAGCATAAAGAGCTTGAATAATTCCGAGAGCTCGTTATTAATTATACGTGTGTATTTTAAACATAAGCGCACGACAGTTTTTTTCAATTAAAACCTTTAAGGTAAATGCGTTTACGGTAGTAGAAGCTAAAAGAACAGCTGATGATGAAAGATTCTGAAATTTATCAAAAACCAACCACTCGGCAAAAGAGAATTAAATTTGCACCATGTCTTAGGTGCCGTTTCTTCTATAGACTGCTGGTGACAGTGTAAAAATGGACAAGTGGCGTAAATCTTAGCAATAATTGAAGCAAGTTAAATGAGCAGCGAATCTGAAGTGAAGCTTTTTCTATAAACTGCTGAAGAGCTCATTTTGATGGGTGACAGTGCAAAAGTGGATGATTGCCGAAATTCTTCAAAAGATTCTGAAATTTATAAAAAACCAACCACTAGGCAGAAGAGATTTAAATTTGCTAGGAGTCTTAGGTGAAGCTTCTTCTATAGACTGCTGGAGCCCGCATTATGATACCGAGTACGAATCTTGAGTATTGAGAAATAATTGGTGACAGTGTAAAAATAGGTAAGTGTTGGTGGGTGTTGGTCAATTGGTGACAGTGCAAAAGTGGACAAATGCCGCAAATCTTCGGAATATTCGAAAATTTATCAAAAATCAACCACTAGGGCCAAGAAAGCTGAGTTTTTCAGGAATCTTACGTGAAGCTTGTTCTATAGATTGCTCATACCTGCATTTTGATGCCCATCATGCACGTTGACGAATGAGCAATAATAGGTGATTGTGCAAAAGTGGAGAAATGCCGAAAATATTCCAAAATTTATCAAAAACGAACCACTCGGCAGAAGAGAACTAAATTTGCACGGTGTCTTAGATGATGCTTCTTCTATAGACTGTTGCAGCCCGCAATACTATACCGAGCATGAATCTTGAGGAATGAGCAATAATTGGTGACCACGTAAAAATTGACGAATGGCGCAAATCTTCGAAAGATTCAACTAAAAAAACAGCAACAACTGGGGCGGAGGGTGTTAAATTAGCAACGAATTTTAAGCTTCTTCTATAGATGGCTGTGACTCGCTTTTGATGCTTATTGTGGACGTTGAAGAATGAGCAATAATAGGTGACTGCAAAAGTGGACAAATGCTGAAAATCTTCGAAATATTCAGCAATTTATTAAAAATCAACTACTCTGTCAAAGGGAATTAAATTTGCCAGAAATCGTGAGCAAATCTTCTTCTATAGACTGCTATGACCCGCACTATGATTCCCAGCAGGAATCTTGAGGAATGAGCAATAATGTACGGTGACAGTGTAAAAATAGGCAAGTGGCGTAAATCTTCGAAAGATTCAAACAGTTATAAAAAATAGCAACTCGAGCGAAGGGACTTGAATTAGCAAAGAATCTTAATTGAAGCTTCTTCTATAGACTTCTGAAGTCCGCATTTCGATGTCTGTCTTGGACGTTGAGGAATTAGCAATAATAGGTGACAGTGCATAATGTGAAAACGTGGAAAAATGCCAGAAATCACCGAAAAATTCCCAAATTTATAAAAAATAAACAATTTGGCTAAACGAAGCCTAATTCGCTAACGTTTTAAGTGAATATTTTCCTATAGATTACTGTGGCCCGCATTTTTCATAGCGAGTATGTATGTTGAAGAATGAGTAATAATGGGCGACAGTGAAAAAAGAGATTAATGCCAAAAATCTTCGAACTATTCCAAAATGTATGGCAAATCGGCCACATGGTCAAAGCGAGCTAAATTCCTATAGACCTTACGTGAAGCGTCCTCTATTGATTGTTAAAATTCGTTTATCTATATCTAGCATGGTTGTAGAGAAATAAGCAATAACGGGAGACAGAGCAAAAATGGAGAAATTGGGCAAGTCTTCGGAGTATTTCTACGTTTATAAAAAATGAACCACTTTTCCAAATGGAGCTGAATTTGCAAGAAATCTCAAGTGAAGCTTCTGCTACAGCTTCCTGAAGCCCATCTCCCGACATTTAGTCTGGGTACGGAAAAACCTCCAAACAGTGCCCTGTTTCATTAAATTCAAATATATCCTACATACTTCTTGCGCTGGCCTAACTCAGTTTATTGCTAAAACCCAAGATGTGAGTTTTTTTTTAATAGAGAAGTTTAATTTTCTTGTCTCGAACCAAATTAGTTTCGAAATACAAAATGTAAGAAGCAGTCGTCTTTTTCTGAAGGTAATCGCTCCAAATTACTTTGCTTATAAAAGTTGGAAAACTACTCGGGATTTAAATTAAAAACTCCCATTTTGTTCAAATCGTGCGCATTTCAGCTTCAGACTCGGAACTTTAATATATTGATGTAAATTCGTTGCATTCAGAAATCTTCAATTTTAGGAGAGCCGCTAGAAAATCACAAAGGTGCAATTATTAGTCATTAATTATGTCTTAAAAACTGGAAGACTTAATCAGTAGAGGATCGATTGCATTCTTGTTCAGTAAACTAAAGAAAAGTACTAGCGTGTTAAATAATTGTGAAGGCATTATTTATCACATTTACAATCGTTCCAGATTATACGGCCTTTGGCTAGAAAATTTAGGCGCAAATTAGTCCAAATGATTTTTGATATGCTGCTAGCTCTAAGTACAAAGACTACTGTTCTGCGGCAAAATTTCTATAACAGAGTCCATGCCAGAAAGCCATTTTCATCCAATTAGTTTTCCCCATTTAGGTTACATTCATGCATACACCCTACAGAATTTCATAATTGAATTAACTAAAATGGAGGTAACGTTCTTTTGGACCAAATTAGGTAATTTTCAAGCAAAGTTCGTGGGCGATATTTTACTTCCGGATCTAGCGGAATGTTTTACTTCCCAGGTATGTTTGACTTTATCAGCCATCTCGCTAATTGCTTCATTAGGTGAAAAATGTGAGTATTCCATAGGAATGATGAATGAAAACGAATGAAACAGGACAAGGTTATGATTAAGCGCAAAAAATATTCTTAACTGAGACTTCAAATAAAATTTCCTCACCAGAATTTTTCAAAGGTTGCATTATTCAAATTCAGGAAGTTAAAATATCGCATACCCTCGGCTTATATTATGGAGAAGCTCAGGCCGCATCTCCTTAGTAATTCGAATTAGTAACTTTGGATCGATCGGTGGTTCGTAGAATTTTTCTTCAATTACCCTGTTCAAACAGTTGGAGTATGCAGTGGATACCAGAATAAATGCCTGAAGGCATTTTGCTCCTTTCATAATTTCCAGAATTTCCGCTGTACCGTTTACATTGGTCATTACCGCATCCATCAACTTTGAGTCCATGTTTAATGAGGCACCGCAATGGAAAACTATGTTAATCTGAAACAGATCAAATTTAATTAGTGGAATTTTCGTCGATCCGGGTGAGAAGTGAGCTGTTTCAAAACACAATCTGAATATGTTTTGGCGTCAATAGCGTTTTGGAGGAGTTAAAACAGGCAGTTGTTCTCAGAAAATGTTTCGGTAGTTTCAGGCTGCAAAGCAGCAACACATTACTGTGTGAACTTTAATTCTAAAGCAGGGAAATATTTGCAGTAGAGCACATACATTTATCGAGAGAAGTAGTTGTACAAATCTAGGCCTGATTTGACGAAGTTGTAGGTTACATGATTTTGCGAGGAGAATATAATAATTTTTTGATTAAATCATAGAAAAATCTAATAAAAATAAATATTAATTATTCCACATCAACGAATTTGACCGAACAAAGGAAATCCGCAATTGTAAGCCGTGTTAGCTCTTTTTTATAGCAAACAACACCACAGAAAGCGTATGTAATTTAAACTATTTTCAACAAACAAACAGCAAAAAATTCGGAATTCAGAATGAAGAACTTCTCCAGAATCTAAGACGGGCCAGAATGCCTTGCAAACTCTCCATCACTTCAGAGAAAGTTTTTGCGAAACCGCTTTTCCTCCGCTCGTACCAAGTCCTATTGGGAACTTAACAAATAAAACATGAATTATTTGAAGGCAAGAGGACAAATTGTAACCAAATATCTGTCCAACATTTTGTTAGAAAATGCTCATAGATTAATAGAAATAATCCTTTGTCCACATAACTGTTAACGGAAATTTTTAGTTGTAATTATTTTATACTGCATAATATTTAGCCGCGCACTAAAGAAACCAGCAATATTAATTATTTCTAAGATCTCGCGGCTAATTGTCCTAAACTAAAATTTTCAACGCATTTGAGCAAAAAACCGAAATTGGTAATTGTAGGCAGTGTTAGTAATTGTGTTGGTAATTGTAGGCAGTGTAGCCTGGATAACACTGTGTTCAGATACCCAACAACGAAACTGAATTAGCGCGCCGGCCGTTGGGTTGGTTAACGAAGCCATTTGCGCAGCACTGCGCCAACTCCTAAGTTGTTGCTTTGGCCTAGTGTTCATTTAGGCTCATTTTCACATATTTTTATAATATTTATATACATACGTGAATAGGTTTATGTGAGCCTCTATTTCGACAATCAACTAATATCCAAAATCCATGGAAATATTGTTTCTTTTGATATTTTCGAATATCCAATTAAACTAACGCTTTAAGTAACAGTTTAGATTCGGCTCCCAAAGATTAGTGCAAACTCTACCCATTTTGCAAATATGACAAATTAAAGAATTGCGAGTATGGCGCTTATAAGAAGGGTCGAATAGTTTTTTAAGCTAAGGTTTTTTTTGAGACTCCTTTTCCTCTACTTGTGCAAAGTCTTACTGGCGATAATACAAACGAACAAACGAACAAACGAACAAACGAAATATGAATTCCTTCAGAAAAAGAGCATTGTAACCAACGGGGAGGTGAGAAACTAGCTTTGAAAATAGTGATAAAACCTTAGAATTATTCTACTTCTGCTGCTAAATCCTCATTTCATGCGAAGTTGAAAAATGTCTGCAGTGAAGGGCATACATTTATCAGTGGAAATACGTGCCGAAATTCTTTTCTGCGTTGTATAGGCTGTAAATAGGGTACATTTAGGAATGTTTTCCGGGCTTTGAAGCCGTGGTCTATCGGAATTTCTTCCTGACGTTTCGTCCACAACTGCGGTGGACATTTTCAAAGGCGATGAGGCAGTGGGCGAAGTGATCTCCCGTGCTTTCTGACTAAGAATGAGTCGGAAAGCACGGGAGATTCAATTCTTAGTCGGAAAGCACGGGAGATCACTTCGCCCAATGCCTCATCGCCTTTGAAAATGTCCACCGCAGTTGTGGACGAAACGTCAGGAAGAAATTCCGATAGACCACGGCTTCAAAGCCCGGAAAACATTCCTAAATGTAATCTGACCGGCCGTGAAAGCCTTCATAGTCTGATGTAAATAGGGTATTTGCACATTTTTTCCTTGGTACCATGGATGGATTACGAACAAATAAGGGTCCTACAATTTCTTCCTTCTGTCTAACCATAACGAACTGTCGCTTTGCTTGTATCTCAATTATTGAAAATAAAAATGTTTATCAATACTGTATGGGGCCTAGGCCTGAAAGGTGAAAGTTTCAAGTGTCCCTTGGCTCAGGATTGGAAGTTGGTAGTTTTTGAATAAAAGAGTTATTGTGGGCGAAAACGCCAATTTTTATGCCCACTTTACCAAGTCGGCAAAAAATGAGGGATTAAGCCGATTTCGGCGAAATTTTCAGTATTTTGGGCTGCAACCGTCTTCTATGTGCTGTGAAAGTTTCAAGTGTCTGCTTGTTCTAGATTGGAAGTTGCTATTTGTATCAGAATATTTAACACAGTTTTCTTCTCAACTCATTATTTACTGCAACTTATTTATTTTCGAAATTTATTTATTTGTAAATTGGTATTTTGTAAAAAGTCTTCTGAAGATTGGTAGAAAAACGTTTATTCCAATTTTGATATTTTTGTTTAACATTTTCATTCCCAAGTTTTCTTCTTATTGCGCACTTAAATATGCGTCTACTCAAACCGTCTTTTCAAAATCTTCGACTATGTTCTTGCAGCTTCCTACTGATCTTTTCCTTAGTACCTCATTCTGTATGCGTCTTTAACTCAACTTCACTTTGGGCCTGGGTAACACTGTGTTCTGTTGCGCCTTTGAGTTGATGCCGCTCTGCGAGTTGGTGAGTTATAACGTATCGCGCCTCACTGCGCCCCACCTCGACTTGAAATCAAAACTTTAAGAACATTTTTAATTAATTGAAATTTAGCAAGTTTCTATTATCGCTCGGAAATTGAGCAACAATTTAATTTTTAAGTGAATTCTTTGCGGATTTTTTGTTTAGTAAATGTCAAAAAAAAACAAAATTAAATCGGTTATTAATTTTAGGTTTGGCATTGTGCATTAATCACTGCAGCTGAATGAAAACGGTCGATAATCGTCATGTGAGTCGCGTTCACATCGTAGTTTATGAAAGTCTAGTAAACTTTTTGAGTATTTATGGGTAGATAATGGAGGATGGGGCGCTAGCTTGCAGAAAGCTGGTTAGAATGATCTCTAATCTTTAAATCGTTTAGCTAACTTTTTCCGACAAGAAATTGAAGTTTTACGAATTCTTTATATTTTTCTCTCTTTGCTTTGCTGAGTTCAAATAAGTTTCGCATTGGACAGATTTCCTTCTGTATTGAACACATTTTCTCCTTTCTTTCCGGGTGCCACTACGCAGCTTTCCGTAAGTTTAGCTTTAGCATCATTTTGCCCCTGGTTGCAATATCCATGTAGAACTTTTAGTCCCATATTCATCATAACTGAATCATACAGTGGATTTGGTATCGATTGAGCGATTTGTTCTTTCGTAGTAAATTTTTAAACTTTGGTAATATTTTGGGCGGCTTTGCATTTTTACATCAAGCTCATTTGAAGCTTTTCTAAAGAGCCGCTTTAGATATCGAAATTTGGGTTCCAGTACAAGTAAGTAAATAATATAAGAAGCATCAGCTTACTGATAGTGTGAATTTAGTTCCGATGAAACCGTTGATTCCTTCACAACAAATTGTTCAACTTTGGGAATTATTTGGGCGGCTTTGAATTTTTACATCGAGCTCACCTGAAGCTTGTCTCCAAAGATATGCCGTTCCAGATATGCAAATATGGGTTCCGTCTCATATGTTTTGTTTAAAAAAGTTAAGAGTTTTAGTTTTGCTGGTTTTTATAAATTACGAAATCGACTGAAGCATGATGGCGTCTTTGATTGAAATTTCATAAAAAAATCGTCTTGTACATAATGCTAATCTTTCAAGTTTCCACTGGCTTTACTTTGGAAGTTGGACTTTTTTATTGGAGAGTATGCTTGCGTAAAAGCGTTCATTTTGAAATCAACATTTACGAAGCGCAGAAAGTTCAGGATTTTACGTGATTTGGATGAATTTTTTAAGCATTGATGAAATTTTTGCGCCATTTAGACCGCACGCTTCTTCACGAATGCAACTCCGAACTTGGAGAGTATTTTTTGTTTCTGGAAAATATGTTCTCGAAAAACGCGATACAAAATGTATCTCGCACCAGTTTTTTCAAATCCTAAGCAAAATTGTCTTAACGATGAGTAAAATTCGAAATTTTGATAACATTTAAATTTTTTATTGCGAAATCGACTGAAACATGATGCCGCTTTTCATTAAAATTTCATTTAAAAAATCGTCTTGTACAGAATCAGTCTTTCAAGTTTCCACTAGCTTTACTTTGGAAGTTGAAATTTTTTATTGAAGAGTGTGCAGTTGCGTAAAAGCGTTCATTTTCAAATCAATATTTCCGAAGCGCAGAAAGTTCACGATTTTACGTGATTTGGATGATATTCAGAGCACACGCTTCTTCAGAAACGCAACTCCGAACTTGTAGAGTATTTTTTGTATCTGAATTTTTTTTTATAAGCAAAATTTTTAAAATTTACAGTGTTACTCATGCCTACTTCACTTAACTGAAGTTTTATCGGTGTTAATTTAACAGCTGCAGTAGCTCAAAGAGAAACATCAGGATTTGGTCCATATATTAGATTATTAAATGGAGATTTACGACTTTGTTTGCTTTCACTTTAAAACTACTCTTCTAAGAGAATGGAAATCGACGACTCCAGAAACAGATGCGGCGGCTGATCAGAGACCAGAGGAAGGAAACACATGATTTAATTAAACGTGGAACCTAACACATGCGAAATTGTAATTAAAGGCGACATATTTGTTGAAAAGATAGACGTAGAACTGGTAAAAAAGGTGAAGACAGTGGTATGATAGGAGAAGTAAATAATGTCATCTAACAAGGTTCCTCTCTTAGCCCCCTGCTTTTTAACACCAGCATGAATGAGCTGATCGATGGGCAGAAAATAGGAAATAGGGAAACGAAAATATTGCGCTAGGCCAACGATGCAGGATTAATTGCGTAAAGCGAGGACCATTTGCAAAAATTACTGCATCAATTTAACACAACAGCGAATTTAACATGAATATATCAGCGACAAAAACTAAATGCATGACTACATCTGGAACTCCACTCAGATGCAAACTAGGAATAGGCAATAAAATTATTTATACAGCAGAAAATTAAATTTAAGTCTAGGCATATAAATATCCGGAGTTGTGGAGACAAGCCATGAAAGCACCAAAAACATCAGCATGTCTTAACAGTACCAAGTGGAGCAATAAACATTTAGGAATCAAAGGTAGATCCAGAATTACAGAACAGCAATCAGACCCAAACTCACATACAGTGCAGAAAGCAGACCAACAACTTCGAAAACTAGACAAATAGGGGAAACAACAGAGATAAACTCCTAATAGAATAAAACCCGGCAAAAAATTTAAAACTATCAATTTTCTCACACACAGAAAGGAAGAACGAAAAAATTTTAAAACTATTCCCATTTCAGCCAATCTTCACGCTGTCCCAAAGCAAGAGTAAACTTTTGATTTCTGCCTGCAGTTTTTTCCATTAAGGCGTGAGTTTGCAACACTGCCGAAAATATTTTTACGTGTACATGTTGTTCATATTTAGATTCTCTTGGCTCTCAATGCTGTCCAAAAATATATTTTCATTGTTCGCTAGTTATCTGATACATTATCTGTTATTGTGCTAATCGTCTAATCTGGCCGGTAGATATTCATTTTTGCTGTGGTTGCTTTTTTAATACTAGAACGTGTCAGATTTTTAAAATTTTATGAAGAATTCTTCAAGCTTCTGTTTTTCTTTGTCAAGTTTGTTAAACGATTGCTTTATTGATTTTCATCTTCTTATGGTGATTGTATGCAAATCTAACCAAATGGTGATTGAGTTTTAGAAGCTGCAGCACGAAATATTTTGGAGGATGGGCCGATGGGTGAAACCACCTCCTCAGATCTTTCATCCATGAATACTGGCGTGCTCCTACTGATGTTTTACCTTTATATGAGTTGAAATATTTCGAAATTTTCTCCTCTAAACATATGAGCCAAATGCCTTCTGACGCTTGTTTGCTTCATGTTACCAACTTCCCTGCGCTATTTCTCAGTAGAAAAAATAAAATCTAATCCGGGCCTGTTTAGTGTTTACGTAAAAATTGTGAGCCCAATGATAATGACGAAAAGATAAATCGTGTAACCTGCAGCAGTGACAATTTAAAATCAAACTCCTGCTGATTGTTTAACAGTTATCGCAAAACCTCCATAAATAAACCATTAAAAGTTCCGTTTAAATACAGTAGGTTTTGTTGGAAATGGCATTTTCACTGTTTCGAAAAGTGGGGCTTCGCAGTCGTTCTCGCTGCCTAATCTCAAGGACTTACAGTGGATTTAACTTTACACTTACCGACGCCCAGAAGGAAATCCAGGCGACGGCCAGAAAATTTGCCCGAGAAGAAGTTATTCCGGTAGCCGCACAGTATGATAAATCAGGTGCGTTTCCTTGGGACATCTTTAGAAAAGCCCATGGGCTTGGATTGTTGAACGTTCACGTGCCTGAAGAGTTCGGAGGTCTTGGATTGGGCAACTTTGAAGGTTGCCTCATCCAAGAGGAGTTTGCCTATGGGTGTACTGGAATAGGGACTGCCTGCGAAGGATCGGGCCTCGGCCAAACTCCGATTTTACTGGTTGGCAATAACGAGCAGAAAAAGAAGTATCTGGGACGACTTTTGGAAGAGCCCACAATTGCCGCGTATTGTGTTACCGAGCCCGGGGCGGGTTCAGATGTGAATGGCCTGAAAACGCGTGCAGAAAAAAAAGGGGATGAGTACATTTTGAACGGGCAAAAGATGTGGATTACCGGGGGAGGAGTGGCGAATTTTTACTTTGTGCTGGCACGGACGAGCCAAGATTCCAAATGTCCAGCCAATAAAGCCTTCACTGGTTTCATAGTGGAAAGGGACTGGCCGGGAGTCATCCCGGGTAGAAAGGAAATCAACATGGGACAAAGAGCCTCAGACACTCGCGGCATTGTGTTTGAAGACGTAAAAATACCCAAAGAAAACGTTCTTCTAGGAGAAGGCGATGGCTTCAAAATTGCCATGCAGGCATTCGACAAGACTCGACCTCCAGTTGCTGCAAATGCAGTAGGACTCGCTCAACGATGCCTGGATGAGGCCTCAAAGTATGCACTGGAAAGGAAAACATTTGGCGTTCCCATAGCCAGTCATCAAGCAGTGGCTTTTATGCTGGCAGACATGGCAATCGGCATTGAAACTGGACGACTAGCCTGGATGAAAGCAGCCTGGGAAACCGATCGTGGAATAAGGAACAGCTACAGTGCAGCCATAGCCAAATGTTGGGCTGCCGATATGGCCAACAAATGCGCCTCGGATGCCGTGCAGATATTCGGCGGAAATGGCTTCAACAGCGAATACCCAGTGGAAAAACTCATGAGGGACGCGAAAATATTCCAAATCTACGAAGGCACATCGCAGATCCAGAAGCTGATTATTTCCCGTCAGTTGGCCGAGCGAGCCAAAAGCCTCAGTTAGTAGCTACTGATTATATTATGCATGTACCATACTTTAAGTTAACACAATTCAAAAAGGAATTCTGGTAAATAAATCAACGTTCAAGTGGATTCAGTTATTGATAATCGTAGGCCTGTGTAAATAGAACTGTGTCAATAACACCTGGTTTGCACCTTGTCATTTGGACGGCATATTTTTGAAGTAAGCAGGTAAAGAGCTGCAAGCGACATTATTTGGCTCAAAAGAAGACGATCGAATTTAACTTTTATTAAAACAAATGTGTGGCTCCTCTGCTGTTAACGGTCAAAGTTCTGGAAAAAATTTGCAATTCAAACTGAAACTCGCTGCGAATTCATGCTAATGTCTAAAATGCCTAATTAGTGAGAAAACAGCAATTTTTTTATACGAAAGTACTGAATGCGACAATATTTTACAAAGAGCTTAAATATGTCAAACAAATCAGTTGATTTCTGCTACCAAACAAACAGTTCTGGTAGTTTGTGTACCAAAACACTCAAGAATTTACCTCTTGCCCCAACTGGGTTGATTAAACAAAATCTGAGTCTTATTTAAGAACAAATTCACACCGAGGTTCATTAAAACCCGTCGTATCATTCTTCCGACATTAAAAAAACAATTCATTAAAATAGCAATTTTTCAATCTAAAATTTTTTTTTTAGTTTGTAGCCACCAGTTCGGGATAATTACAAACTTGAATATTTATGAAGTTCTGATAATTCAAATTTTTTATTGACATTGCGCTACATCCTGATTTTTTGTTGCTTTAAGGCGCGTTTTAAAATAAAGTTTACAGCCAGTGCGCTCTGTTTTAAAAATCGTAACTACTTCTATGGGACAAGGGCACCCGATCCGGATTTTTCCTGGCTCTTCAAACGGGGGTTAAAAACTTTTACACTCAGAACTGACAGATTTTCATTAAAATAGTACTAGGTCCTGATTTTTTGCGGCTGTATCAATGCGGGTGAAAAATGAACGTTTGTAGTCAGAAGCGCGCTTTCCTTTAAAAGTTTATAACTTCAAACTTCGCGCTGGTTCGGACTTGAAAGCTTTGCAAGACATACAGGGTGATTCAAAATGGGCGTCATTCCTTTTAAGGGGTGATAGAGGCTCTCTTGGGGAGTACGAGAAAAATATTGAAAATTTTTTTTTCGAAAATTTCTAGAAGATATTAACAGTTGAAGATCTAATTTCAACTTTGTTATTAAGCATTATTTTGAAAGTGTTCCATGTTTAATTGGTAGCATATTGGAATACCTAAGCATTCAAAAAGAAAAATTACGATCTTTGCTTCAAATTATGAAAATTTTTGATATCAAAAAAGTTCTCTTCTATTAGGATATGCGATTAGTTCAGGGGAAATGCTACAGTAACATAGCAGGAGGTTCCGAACCTCTATTATCGTCCACTATGGACGACAATAGAGGTTCGGGTTCCAGTCACAGAGGAATAAGTATTGGACATAATCGAATCAGGGCGTTCCAGGGCCACTCAGAGCACAATAACTGACACTTTCCCAAGCACCAAATAAATACCGAAGAGGGCCTACACTCCTACCACGTTTGTACGATACACACAGCACAAGAAGATACAAATGGAGCAAGAGTTAATTAACTGAATACGAGAACCTGCTTGATAAGAGTGGATAATAAGGACACAGGCATTAGCTTGTTTGGTTGCCCAATTCGAGGTTATGATAACAGGTTGACATTTCGAAAGTACGTTCAGCAGTCAACAAATCTTGTTGAATTTACCGTTTATCCTTGCCTATCTTATTGTCACCCTGTTATGGTTACCGGAGTTTTAATTAATTACGAAGCAACAGGTATTTGCGCAATGTTAATTAGGCAGATTACCTTGAAAAACATTGCTGCCGTATTTCTGATATAGTTTTTTTGCAAATTTCTCAGTTTTTAATAACAATTAATTTCTTTTACTATTTTTTCTGTACTCCTATGACAGTGCCAGACAACACCCCCAGAGGAATGACGTCAATTTTCAATCACCCTGTATAAGAGACGTGAATTGGAGAATTCAGAAATTTTCATTAAAATGGCAGTAGATCCTGACGTTTTTTCGCCATTTCAGCCCGGGTGACAAAATTTACCTTTCAATTTAAAGGCGCGATCTACATAAAAATTCGTCATTACTTATGTGGGACAAGTATAAAATTCGTAACTGCTACTGTAGGACAAGTGCGAACTCGGAAGTTTTGCAAGATTTAGAAGAAAGTTCCGTTTGAGAATTGAGAAATTCTCTTTAAAATAATCTCTTTAAAATACCACCAACTCCTAATTTTATGCTGCTGTTTCAATGTGGGTGTAAAAATGAACGTTTTGAGTTAAAAGCACGTTTTCTTTTAAAAATTTGTAACTATAAACGGCTCGCCGTTATGAACTTGAAAGATTTGCCCGACATATCAGAGAGTTGAGTCTGAGAATTCGAAAATTTTTACTAAAATCGCAGTAGATCCTCACTTTTCTTCACCTTTTCAGCGCGGATATAAAAATTTACCTTTCCATTCAAAGGCGCAATTCCCTTAAAAATTCGTAATTACTGATGTGGGACAAGTATAAACTCCAAAGTTTAGCAAGATATATTAGAGACTTGAATCTGAAAGTTTAGAAATTTCCATTAAACTTCTATTCGATTCTGATTTTGTCCAGCTGTTGAAACGCGAGTTTTAAATGGATGTTTCTAGTTAAAAACGCTCTTGCCTTAAAAAATTCGTAACTAATAATGTAGGACAAGTACAAGCTGGGAAGTTCTGCAAGATTTAGAAGAGAGTTGAATCTCAGAACAGAAATTTTCGCTGAATTAGCACTGGGTCCTGGTTTCTAGACAGAAGCGCGCTTTCCTTTACACATTTGTAACTACAAACTTCGCGCTGGTACGGACTTGAAATTTTCGCTAGACATAGGAGAGGGCTGAATCTGATAGTTCAGAAATTTTCATTAAAATGGCAGTAGATCCTGACTTCTTTTCGCTATTTCAGCGCGGATGAAAAAAATTCCTTTTCTATTGAGACGCGATTTCCTTAAAAATTGGGAATTGCTGATGTGGGACAAGTATAAACTTCTAAGCTTAACAAAGGATATTAGAGAGTTGAGTATGAACGTTTAGAACTTTTCAGTATATTTCGAGTGGATTCTGACTCTTTCCAGCTGTTTTAAATGGATGTTTCTAGTTAAAAACGCTGGTGCCTTAAAAAAATCGTAACTACTTATGTAGGACAAGTACGAGCAGGGAAGTTGTGCAAGATATAGAAAAGAGTTGCGTTTGAAAATTGCTACATGTCCATTAAAATCGCATTAGGTCCTGAATTTTAGCTGCTGTTTCAATGCGGGTGTAAAATGATTGACTGATATTGATATGATAATTGTTGATTGATGAATAAAAATTTGTAACTAATCACTTCGCGCTGGGACGGACTTAAAAGTTCTACAAGACATGTTTGAAAAAACCAGAGGAACCAGACGTTTTTTGTCAGTAAAAATTAGGGCCGACCGTTCTCCTTTGAGGCAAGGAATGTTCCAGTTCCGATTTGATCATGTGCTTTTGGTCATACTGTATATTGAATTGCATTTTTTTGACAAATTGAATGTTTGTTCCTATTAATTCAACTGTTTAAGAACCAGTAACTTCTGAAGTTAAGTTCTAACACCATTTAAGTAGTTAGTTAAGTTCGTAGCTAAAGTCTAAAATATTCAAATCTTCACATCAACTATTTCTAGTATCGTCTTAAATCAAACTTGGTCATTGGAAAGCTTCAACATCGAACTGAAATATTCTCTTCTTGCTTATGTGAATTTGCATTTTACGAACGGTCCGATGTTGAAGGAAACATTTGATGATTACACTCACTTACATTTTCTCGCAAAAATATCTGGTCTTCCTTTGCTATTCCCAGAGACTTGTTTTTCAGGTCCCCTTCAATTGGATGTAGTTTGTCCTGAAATGTTGCCTCAGGGATATGAAGAAAAACCTGTAAATATGTTGAAATTATAAAAATACAATTAGTGAAACGATTATAAAAATTAGATAAATATTGTGAAGAGTTTAATGAATACAATATAACATAAAAACTTTGAGACTTCGAAGGGTAGCATTCTGCATCAGCCGAGTTCAGGTCATATCAAGGGTGCAACAATGAAACAACAACAAACAAATGAAATAACTCGATTAATTCAAACCACCCGGACTGACCCTGAGTTCTTTTAAGAACTTTCGTCCAGTATTGGCAGAAGAATCTTACTTCAACTTAGGGATAGGAGAAAAACATTGATGTTTCGCAAACATCGATGTAATTCGTTCGATGTTCGATATTTTTACCATCGATGTTGTTAATTTGGGACATCGATAAAACATCGATGTTAGATACTGAAATAAAAACATCGGACGTTTGACGTTGATACTAGATAGAAGGGTAGAAACATTTTCTGCGAACTCGTTGATAGTGCCGATACGAACGATACCGCGGCATAGCGGCCCATTTCCAGCTACACACGACAAAAGCCTCTTTTTGCAGCCAGTTGACCGAAAAATGTGGCAACTGTAAGTTGAATAAATTTAGTCGATTATTTAACAATGCATTGTTTTAAAATGTCATGGTAGTAGTAAAATAAAATGATTTAAGCTTAAGTTAATCAATTTGAAATTTGTATGCAACTGCAAACTATGAGAACATCGATGTTGTCAAACATCGATGTTTCCTTAACATCGATATTACCTTTCGATGTCAACATCGATGTTAGAGGATCGATGTCCAATGCCTACTTTACCTAGTCCTGCCTTCCTTAAGAGTAAAGCACAAATATATTCTGGGTAGATTAACTTCTTGCTGCTTCCAAGTTTATGAGTTTTAAGATAAATAACGACTTTTAGACCTATTTTGGGTCTTAATAACTTAATCTTATAAGTTTCCTTAATAATTTTTAGTATAATTTTCTTAGGAGATTTTTAAAAATCTATCGTAATGTGTGTATATTCAATTTATTAACTCACTCGTAATAAATATTCGGGTATAGATTTATTTTCATACTTGAAGTTTACTTTTTTGCTTAATTTGGTTTGTAAACTTTCAGTCAAGTTTTTTATTTGGGGGTTTATATATTTGTACAACATTTTATGAATCAACGTAACGTAACTTTGTAACGATTAATTGTTTTTTTATTTGGCTATATGTTTTTTATGGTTTGTATTATGCTTTCCAAATTAATAAAAATGTTTCCTTACTTTAATTTAATGTTGGTTTCCAGCTTGTTGCATAATAATGAAATTCCACTTTCGATTCGAACTTTACCGTTTAAATTTGTGTTCTGTAGAATTGTGTGCAGGAATATATTATAAAATTTGGGGTGGTTTTACAGGCTCAGAGAATGCGAACAATTTTAGATCAGCGATGCGCTGCATTTGGGCACTTTGGGAATAGCTTCTGAATATGAAACACTTTTGCTATAGAAGAACGAAAGAGGTTTCAAGCACTTGCAGACATGACAAAATCTAAACATTAAGCCCCATTTAGATTGGGAAAAAGAGCATATTCATATATTAACACGAGATTGTCTTATCTGGCGAGATAACGCCATGTACTCATGACAGGATATTAGATAGCAAAAGAGGTCGCAAATTGTCATGTTCGGGGCTGTTCTTAAAGCCGAAAGATTCGCAAATGTTGGAAATTCGTAGAATGTTCCTGAAAGTGTTACTTTGATTTCTTCAACTCCTACCTGTTCTTCAAACATTTTGGTGACGCGTTTATCGATGCCAACATCCTCCTTTGGTCTAACAATCAAGTAAATATTTTTCACCTCCGTAGTTCGCAAGAGCTTGGCAATGATCATTTTTCCAATATATCCAGTTCCTCCTGTGAGCAACACATTCTTCGCCCCGTAAAAGTCCTTAATGGGGCTGCCCATTCCGAGGAGTTTGTAGCAAATTGAAACTGAAGTATTCTACACTAAGAACCTTCAATGGAATGAATATAAAACTGTCGAAATCTGAAGCACTTTAATGATTTTGACGAGAAGCTGACTGTCGAGGGAAACGTCGATTGAACGACACGAAACGAATTTATTTATTCGTTCAATTAAATATTAAGAACAAACCCTGTAGCGGGGATAAACTTTCCAACGGAAACTCTCTATCGATTATTCCATTACCTTTCTCGGCTCCGTTTTCCGTCGACCTGGCATGGATTTGCAGACACTCGAATTTGCACTATTCGTGGATATGTTGTCAGCTTATTTCGCGACGAAACTGCCTGGATACCAGCGCTTTCCATGACTCATTCATGGCTTTTGAATCACCGTTTTTTAATAACTGGCACTATTTGATTGATGGGATTATTGGTGGTATGTATCGGAAACATCTGCAGCCAAAATCCATATTGGTCACCACCAAATTCCTTCTGGTCTTTTACCCATTTGATAATTTCCCATTACGATTGCCTTCTCGGCACGTTCTGTTGCATTTAAGCATCTTCAGTTTCTTCGCTGACGACTTTTCACGTTTAGAATTACCAACTTTAATGTTTTGGTATAAATCCGTGAAGATAATGGAGTTTCACCAGGTGAACTTAATTTGAAAGCAACTGCAGCTTTGAACTTCTGCTTTTCTCATGGAAAATTGTATGCTGGCTGTTCTGATCAAAGTACTTGCACAAAATACAAAAGGACATAAAATTATCATTAAATCGCTGACAAAACCTACACTGTACTTGTCGCAGTTTAAAAAGTTGTCATTCTCTGGACGTATGGTGTCCAAAGAATTAAATTAAACAAATTTCTCGTTACAGTTTGCCAGAAAAACACCAAACTCTAAGGTGACAAAAATGTCGGTACAATAAAACAGATAATATATTTGCGAAAAATAATTAAACAGGGTAAATATTAATAAGGCAATTGCTGAAAAATGCAGCAATGGATGTTGGCCGCCTAGCATAGAGAAGACGAACAGAATTAATACTCTTTTCTATGCTGAAACTGCTAGGAAAAATGAAAATTGGCAACTCGCCCAACAAGCATCGAACCTAATTGAAAGAAAATCTGTGCAGGACATGATGCAACGAATGATGGATACGCTGGATAGTATCACTGAGAGACTCAACATTTTGGAGGCAAAAGTAACAGGAGCTATTCCAAAAAGAAAGAAATAATGAATACAAAGAATTAAGAATTGTTACTTGGAACGCTAATGGTATAATTGGTAAAAAAGCTGAACTAGAAGTATTTCTGCATAGTCAACGCATTGATGATGTCTGCTTAGTCTCAGAAACACATCTCACAAATCAATCATTTGTTACAATACACGGTTACAAATGCTATCAATCCATCCATCCCGACAAGCAAGCCAAAGGAGGAAGGCCCATTTTCATCAAAGAATCAATTAATCATCATGAAGAATTTCCAATCCAATAGGTGAGTACTCAACTAACTACAGTAGGAGTAAAAACTACAAAACAAAATTTTTAAGTTGGAGCCATTTATACAGGGTTGCTCATTAGTGTGTCAAAGTGCGATATCTCAGTAAATATGAACTTTACAAGAAAATACGTCCTACGAAAGTTTTTCATGTTTAAAAGGTCCACATTTTAAAATTACTTTCCAATATACGGGGTGTATCATAAACGTGTGGTAGTTACCAACTTTGGTTTTTTAAATGGAACCGCCCCTTTTTTCATTCATTTTCAGATTTGTCGTCAAAATTTAAGTTAAGTTTGTGTCAAACGTTTTACCTGAAAAATTTACGATTTCCGAGTTATTCGTAAAAATGTGAAAGTTTTGACAGCTACTGGGTTCCACAGAAATCGATGCTGTACACTACCCGCTGCGAATTTTGGAAAACAGTTTTCAGCGATTCTAACAGAACATCATGATCTACGCGTAAATATGTTTTAA